CTTGACTTTTGTAAGCGTCACAATATCCAACTAGTCTTGAACGAGCCCTCACCGCCTTCACCTGGGATCAACACGACCAGTAAGTTTTGTGCGCGTGTTGATAGTTCTATGTTTATATCTAAAGCTGCATGTATTGTAGAACGCAAGAGAAGTACAAACCAAACCGCGCCAGCATCTTCATCACTCGCCCAAGAACTGTCCCCAAAGAACAAAGGACAGGCGAAGCGAGCGAAAGAGGCTTCTTCTGATGCCGCTTCACTGGCAAAACCGAAGCGAAAGAAGCCCGCCGGTAAGACGACCAAGTCACAGAACCCAGTGAAGAAGAAAAAGATGACGAAGAAGCAGCAACGTGAGGAGGAAGAGGAGCAACGTCGTGAGAAGTCTTCATTCTCAACTATTTGGAGCCCTCCTCGTAGTGATGGTAAGGTGTTTGGTGTAAATTACTGTCAAGCCTTACTTATTTTGTGTTTGGTATTGTGCCAGGACCTCTCACTTCATCAAGTTGCCGTTCTCAGATCAGTGATGACCAAATCAGCGCGGACTTACAAGAGCATGCGGAAAGAGGGGATCTGGATGGTATGCGCCACCGATGTCTATGCTGCCTTATACTGTTTTACATGTGCTGACATAGTATGGTATGGTGGTCTGGATGGTATATCGTAAGCTGACGAAGGTCCTTGTGCTGACATGGAAGGTATGTCGTAAGCTGACTTGATTGATTGTTTCGTATATTTCCTGGCATCACAAGTGTCAACGGAGTTGACGTCGGTTGTATGGAGAGAGAAGAATGGAACACTGACGACGGTTCCTTGCCCTAGTGTGGTAAGCACATATCTGCAGTATATGGGCGGTGTTGACAGCCATGACCAGCTCCGCACTTCGGTGCCGACTAAAGGAAAAGAATACTTCTCTGAAGGTGGCTAAGACATCCACACCAAGCATCACACTGCACAAACGTAGCAGGGAGACGTCTTGTAGTAGCTGCCGCCAGCGCAATAAGAGATGTGGCGACCTCACTATCAATCCGCACTGCACTCAACCTAAGAATTCGAGCGGCAACAACAACAGAGCACAAAACTTCAGCTTAGACCAGTTTCTTGTAAGCGAGTAAGAACAGTGTTAGTACTCGTGTGTTACTCGGTCTCCTGCGTCTGGTAAGTGCTTGCCGTTGCCTTGAAGACGGCGTCGACGTGGTCGCTGCTTCATGGAGTCGTGATTCTTGATTGCCTGTGTGCTGTGTGCAGGACGTGAGCAGTAAGTACGATTATGTGCTGTTTAAAGGAGATTCTGGGGATATGAACGGCACAAAAAGTGGTCAAAAATGGTGGCATATGGTCCAAAGCGGTGCCGACTGGTTGCGGTTTATTCCCCAGAAAAACGTATGAACCCCAGCTCCGACTTCAGTCTTACTCCATACAGATGTCTTGCAGGTTCGTTATGCTGTTCGGGTGGGTATATGATTCAAACGCTTATGCTGTTCTTGTCGGTGTTGTGATTTAGATTCCGCAAGTACTACAAAGGCTTATTCCTTGGACTCGTTGACATGGCACTGATAAATGGATACATCACGCACAAGTGCAACGTTGGGAAGCAGAGCAAGAAACCGTACAGCCACTACCAGTACATGACTATTCTGCACGAACACCTTATTCGCGAGACCCCTAACAGTTTCACAAGAACGACCGCGAGTGAAGCAGCACCGGCTGTTGCGAACAGATCTATTGTTGTGACGCATGATCACACATTGGTTCAGTCTGTCGATACTAGGGTGAACGGTGGTGTGGAGCGTGTTCGCCAGCGTCAATGCAAGTATGTTCTATCTACAAACCCAGCTACAAGAAACGAGGTGGCACAAGCACCTACTACTGCCCCAAGTGCTCCGAAGGAAAGAGAGGCCTTGTTACTTTGTGCAACAAGGTGCGAAACTACGAGCAAAACGATGGGCTCACTTGTGGTCAAATATGGCACATTACGTGGCGTAATGGCGAGTTTGCCCCGAAGGCTGGCAACGTTAGAGACCGTGGTGTAGGTATCAGCAACGATAGCAAGTAAACATTTTTTACGGGTACCACGATAGCAAATAAACATGATTTTTCCTGTTTGCACGTTACAGCATTGTCGGAGTGAAATGCTAAAAATAATTTTGATTTTTGAAACCATTTGATTGGTCACAGGAGCAAATCATCATTATCGTTGCGAATTATTAGTAGAAAGGTTAGCAACAAAGCGAACAGAAAATACGCAAATTTAGTTATGATTTCAGTAAGGAATACTGGAATCAACTTGAACTATTATACCATCCAGGAGGGTTTACGAAGGTGCCTATCCTGTTCTTGTCACCACCCGCGCTTAAGGGGTTAAAAGGAGTCTTTTTATTTAAACTTGGTGTTTTACTTCAAGCTAGTAGCTGGATAACTGTAGTTAGTTTTTTATAAAGGAAAATTAGTTCCAGTTAGCAAATATTTAAGATATTTTGCTTAGTGTATTTTATACACAGTTTATAAATACGTGTAAAATACGTGTGCAAGGATTCTACTATAGGATTTTTTCTTGGATGCGAGTTGGATGTGGATTCAACAAAACCCTGCTAAACTGATTATGAAATGCTGTCAAATAGGAAAGATGCGCTTCGAGCATCTCCAAAGGTGAAGTGATAGGGACTTAAAAGTAGTCCTAAAGTAGGTGCTGTTATGGCGTTGATCCAAGAGCATACATATTGGATAAACCTCACATAGATCTGTTTGTTTAGTGTTTGCCCATATTTCAGGACTTCTTCAGCACGACGTGTTAATTTCCCCGTACGTCGTGATGCACCAAAATCGAAAAAAAATCTGTAAAAGCTGTAGTGGTAAATCATGTTTATTCTATCATAATTAAACATTAACCTTGGCCCCCGTACATGTACTTCAAAAATGGCATTTAGGTTAGAAAAATACTTCATATAAACGGTGTCGTGGGTAATGCTGCGGTTACAGTGCCACGGCACGTGTAGCCGCGCCATTTTTGTATGCTTGACAGTGCAGATTGATACCATGGTGTGGTAAACGGTTAAGATCTCAGACAGATTATTTTTTTCTTACAGTTAACACGTTTATATTTGAGAAATCAACAAACGGACCTTACCAGAAAATTCTCGTAATTTTAGTTCGCGCTAAGGAAGAATCTGCTGATTGTTCACCTGGTAATTTACTAGTCCCAACATTTGTCAAAAC